AGTTAGCTATCGTCCATCTATAATGATGGAAGCGGTGATTATTCTTTGCTGTTTTTGAACATTCGTCTTTTCATTTTTTTTTTTCACACAACTATTACTGCTTAAGAAGTTTTGACGATTTTTCGCGATATCTTTATTGATTTTTAATACAGTTCACAGTCGGTTTTCGACGTTGGCAGAATGATGTTCGATATTAGAAGGTTCGGTTTTCTTTTTACAAGTTTAATTTTGTTTAAATCATTCTCGTCTTCTTTACCAGTTTTAAAAATTTTATTATTATCGTTCTAAACATTCTACTTGGCTGTGTAACTGAAAGTAAGTTTTTTTTACTTTTGATGGATACTGAAAAGTCTAAAAGTTTACCCACTTTTAGTAGAGTTTTTTTAAGTTTTAACAATTGAATATATTTGATTTTGGCTTTGATATTTATGGATCAATTTTTTAAGTGCGTTTAGTTCTAAGTGGTGGCTATTGGTAAGTACACTAGGTATTAAAGATAGATTGAAAAAAAAGCATTGTGTACTTATCTAGTTCAGAATACTGAAACCCTTTTTTTAGTCTTGGGAAAAGTTGATTTATTCATGCTTATAGCATTGATATCTCTTGAAAAAAAAACTGGCTAATTTGTGAATAAATGACACTAAGGCAGTAAAAATAAAGCACTTTTTTTTTACTGGTAAAAATATGTTGAAAAAGTTGGGGACAGGAGAATAGCGACACCAAGATAACGAACGGCTTATCCTCTAAAATCACGAGTAAGAAATTAGAAGTAGCGTAGTATCAGGGTTTGTGCTCATTAGTAGCAGGAAAAATACCTCTTACTGTTCTTCGGAAGCAGAGTCTGTCAACCTTTATGCTTTCCACTGCTTTGATGATTTAGAGAACGTAAAAGCATACCTCAGAAAAACGCTAATACAGAATTCTGCAGAGAGTTTATTGTTTTTTGTTTGAAAATTTTCTGAAAAAAATTTTATTATTCTATAGAGTGCCTATTAAGAGGCGTATTTTTCTATATCAAGTCTACGAACAGTAATTGGTATTTGGCGATGCTCCATGTTTAACTTGCTGACTTGACCGTTCAGCTGTCATCTCATGGCGTGATTCTAGTGTTGGGAAGTCTAGCACAATTTGACAAAATGTTGTGTAAACAAGTGTAAAAACACCACACATAACTTTAAACTGCCGAGATGTAGAAGGATCATTTCATTATAAATCAGATACTCTTTTCAGCCAGATTTCTTTGGGTTTTGATGAGTAGTGGAGCTTGGGTTATGAGCAATGAAATACAAGAATTTGTCTTGAGAAGTTTTTTCCTTGCAAAGGAAGCAGGCATTCAAATTCTTACAAAGCTTCTAGTTTTTGCTCTACCAAATAAGCTTCAAAAGCTTACTCCTTAAACAAGATTTTCCGAAAGCAATCAAATTTGGTTCTTTATAAAAGTTTCTTTTTTTGTTTTCAAAACTTCTGATTTTTTTTGAATGATAAAAATATTAACAGCAATATTCAAAGTAAAATTTTTAAAATGATGTTATAAAAATTGCGTCAGATTAATTTTCTTTGCAAAAACGTTTTAAGAATTTTTTTCTTACCACAAAGGTTATTAGACAACGCAGTTATTGGGTTTTGGAAGTCTGAAAATACAATGAACGAGGTAAGTGGAGGTAAAAGGTTGGGGTGCTCATTAATGTAATTTCGCAGTCAAGTTGACCTTCCACCAGTAAAATGCAATTTTATTGCTAATTTTGCTGTACTATCACAGAATTTGCTCGGGCGTGAGATTTCACAAATTGACTATGCAAATGTGTCTATGTCTTAACTAGCTTGGTGTTTTGGGTAGCTTAATCACTTGAAATTTGAGCTTGTTTGACTAAAAACGGATAATTTAATTGGTTTAAAAAAAGCAAGTTTGAAGCCATTACTTAAAAAGCGGACCTATGCAGTAAAAACCTAGGTTATTTATATATTTTGAAAATTTCCAATTTGATGTGAGGACGATTCTCCAGAGTAAACTTTTTTATTTATTTATATTTCTTAACTTGGATTTACGCCTTTTGCTGATTAAAATTGAAAAGAGGTTTTGGGGACGACTGAAACAAGTGTAAGACCCGATGCGTGGTGACCCAGAAAAGTAATAAATGAATATATAATAGAATAAGCGGAATGCAGTGGGCAATAACCTCTGGCTACTCGTTCTTGAACTTTTAAATGAAGGGCTTAAGCAAAGGTTTTTTGATTTTCGGGAGGCTAGACAGTCGTATTACGGTCCTGGCTTCTCAAATGCTTTACCTCCTTCTCTCGCATATTTGGCATTCACAATCACTTGTTTATTGAATCGGCAGTGATAGAATGAGTAAAACGAGCATTGCATTGTAGAATTAAATTACAAAAGTTGCTGTTTTGCTTATTTTGAGATACACAGCCTGGTATCTGTTGTTAACGCAACTTCAAATTGATCAAAAAGTAGCTTCTATGCCAAAGTATTGTTATAAGTGACTAACTTCAGAAGTAATCTCAAGAAGAGAACTAAACATTTTTAGATTGGATATATATCGCAAGGTACCAAAAGATTTAACGCAACCCACAACAGTTGGAGCTGTTATTTCAATTGTATCTCTACTTTTTATATTTCTTATGGTCTTTGCAAGTTTAGTCAACTTTTTGACACCAAAAATGTGAGTTATCTTTGCAAATTTAAAGAAATTACCTTTACTGTAGCAATTGTAACATTTGAAATTGAAAATTTTTTTTACCTTTAAAATTATGCTTCAAAATTGAACTGTGAAGAGCAACAGAACAGAAAAAAAGGGTTTTTTTTGAACATTATATTGGTTATTAGCTGGAATGGTGTGAAATGTTGATATTGATAATGATTGCGCAGACAGTCGGAGATGTTTGTGGACGATCCGGGTCGCGAAGGCCGAGTCAAAGTGACCGTCAATGTTTCACTACCGTTTTTGTCTTGTGAATGTAAGTTACACGCTGAAAATAATACTTTTTGATATTTAATACATCTCAATGATTTTTCATCTACTTTTTGTTTTATCAGAAAATCTCAAGATTGCTGCATAACCGAAGCGGAAAGAGCGTTTTTTTTTTTGTTTTAAAACCTATAAAACAAGCTCGTCAGTGATTAAGTTTTGGTTTTTTACTTTTTTTTTCTTAACAGGTTTATCAAAACAGCTCTTTAAAACTGCATCTCAAACCACTTTTATTGAAAAACGTAGAATTAAAGCTATTTGAAGTTTGATTTTGCTTAAGCTGCTGGAATGAGTTTGTTGAGTGATTTTAGTAAAATCTCATCTATTAAATGCTAAATTTCAAAAGTGATATTATCAAAGTTTTAAGTATGTCACCTTATTTTGTTACCATGCAAGACTTAATCTTCAGAAGTAGTTATTATACATTTGATAAATAGTATTAGCAAAAAATAATTTTATCTTTTAAAAAATTTAGCTTTTTAGTGACTGTCAAACATCAAACGATTTTATGTTTAGCGGCTTCAGAAGAATCAAAAAATGTTGCTTTTTTACAACTATCAAAAATTGGCGGCCTTGGTTGCATGTTCGTCATGTAGTTATTTTCGTTTATAAAAGATGATTGATATTGGAAATTTGCATTTTAAATCTCTTTTGGTTAGCAAAGTATTCAAAAAAGGTGATCTGTGATATGTTAAAGTAAATTAGTTAACATTTATTTTTTTTTGCCTACTCTTATCAAAATTTTTAGTTCTAAACTTGAGAAAGAAAAGAGTATGGTTTTCGCGGTGTCATTTTCTTTGGAAAAAGCTTTGCGTTTATTGTAGTCGGTTGAAAAATAAAGTATATAGGTGGCTATATGGATTGTACAGAGCAGGTCCAAGCTCACCATAGGGATGAAAAAAGTGTGACTCAAGAGTTTAGGGCCGAGAGTTTTTTGTAGCATGGTTGGTCGACATCTATTTGTGGCAAAGAAGAGAAAACTTGAAACAGCAAGTATAAAAGAAAATCCTTGAGCCGCTGAAGTTAATGCGCTCACAGCATTGGAGCTATTCTCTTTTAGTTTGGTTTTTTATTTGATATAGCAAACGGGTACTATATGATAATCAAAAAAGCATTGATCAGTACCAACAACAAGGGCTTTGTTTACCTGGCTTGCGACCAGCAGAAAATAATGATCACTGCCTATTGAAAGGCTTACTGAGTAGTCCAAAGTGACTTTGGTAGTGCTCGGGATAAACGTTTCTCCTAGTCAAGTGCTGTTATGCACATGGTTTGGAAAAAAAATTAATTAATTTCCTCAAAATTGTTTAGGCGAGCAAACCAAAACTGTTGCTTTGACTTTTTTTAGAATTTATATCGTAAATGCTTCAGATAATTTCGTTAGCTTTTGCGTAGAATCTTATCTTTACGCTGGTTTTTGCATTTTTTGCTCTAAGGGGAGTTGCTCGGCTTATACAAGATTTTGCTGCGGTAACAGATTAAAATACACTTTTATTTATGGTACAGTTTTAACATCTTGTGAAGCAAAATAAAAAGCTTTTTGTTGCAGTAATCAGGTATATTCATTTCTTTATCAGCGATAATGGTGAGTGGAAGAAGGACTAAGTAATCCCGCTTTTTTCTCACTTTTTTTACACACTACACTTTATTTGCTTTTACAACTTATTAAATTGAAAGTTTTTGAGTATATTGGCTTAAATATACAAAATTTTTTCAGAGGTACCATGTAGTTTGAGATATTAAAAGCCTTTAAATTACTTTTTATTGGTTTAAAATGAGACTTTTCAGATATAGGAGTGGATATACAAGATGAAAACGGAAGGCACGAGGTCGGATTTGTTCATAACACAGAGAAGTTTCCAATTGGAGATTCCGGTTGTCGCTTTGAAGCTGCTTTTGAAATTAACAAGGTTTATAACAATATATTTTTGTTAGGAATTTATATTTCCTCTTTTCCAGAAGGGATTTCTGTCTATAGGAGTAATTTCTTCTTAATCAGCTAAATCCGCTCTCCTTACCGACGGAATAAAAGATTTGAGTTGTAAGTGGAGAAAAATTAGATGAAATTATCAGTTTCTGATTTTTCGTCGGGTAAGCTGTAATGTAGAGAAGCAACTATAGCTTCCCAATAGTCGAATCCAAATTGCAGCGGACGAACTAGGCAGCATTTTCGGAGGACAAGTTGACAGAGGGGATTATGGGATGAGAAGCTTTTTGACATTTTTGCTTTTTTTTTCTTCTTTCTAGTTCATGTATTCTTTTGCCTTTCAATAACAAACTGTTTTACTTTGTATTTATTAGAAAAGCATTCCTCTGCATGTAAGTTTTCAGCGCACAGTTTAGTGTTACGGAAACAGGAAAACACAGTTTTCACCAACAACTTGTTTGTTACTTTTTACGCTTTTTAACCAAAGCGTCACTGTTTTAATCGGCTGCTAAAACAATACCATAATTTATGTCTCAGAGTAGAAATTTTGTTCATTATAGAAAAATATTTTGATGGTCATACCAAGACTTAAAAAGGGGTGAACAACTGACCGCAGAGTTTATTGAATCTGGTTGGGCTCTCACTTTCGTACACCACCATTTTGTTGGAAATCATTACTTGTTAAAAAAAAATTCGGACTAATCGCAACTCTTATCACTTCACCACTGTGCTTCACCGTACCGCATAGTTTCCCACAACAGTTTTTCAGCTTTTTTTTTCGCTCTTCTCGTTTTCTTCTGCATTAACTAGAATGAAGACTAAAGCTAGGAAAAAACTTCAAAAATGTAAACTAAACTCACAAGTTTTTGACATAAAGACTGAAAACTAATTGTTTTATATTTTGGAAGATGGCCATTTTTGGTTAACTTTGTATGAAATTTCTACATAGTTTTTTTTTTGAGAGGAATTGAAACAGTAATTCTTAATTTTATTAAATTACCGGTTTGATAAAGCTTGAAAAAACTACTTTTGAATGTTCCTGTTTTTTTTTCTTTTTTAAGAAGTCAAATGTAGTTTTAGGTGCCAGGAAACTTTCATCTTAGCACACATTCATCTGCCCAGCAACCAGCTAACTATGACATGCGACATCAAATACACTCTGTTAAATTTGGCGACAACATTGGGGTATAGTTCTACATCACACTAAAATATATGGAAATGTCAACTATTTAAAATTGTTTATAACGCATTTCGGTTTTATAGGATGAGATTCCGTTTGGAAGCTTCAATCCGTTAAACGGTCGCGATGCAACAGGCGGTGAACCTCTAAGCACTCATGATTACGTTTTAAAGGTACTTATACTGAGCTGATTAGAGTTTTGTAAGGTTTTTCTTAGTACTTAAGGTAGCCTAATGTGAGTGATACGAGAAATATTTGGTTCTTTTTTTTTGCTGTATTTCATTTATAAGCACCATAACTTCAGATTGTGCCGTCGGTATATGAAACGATGAGCGGTAAAGTAAAGTACAGTTACCAGTATACTTATGCCCACAAAGAATATTTGTCACGTCACTCAACTGGGAGAATTATTCCAGCGATTTGGTTCCGTTACGAACTACAACCGATTACTGTAAAATACACAGAACAAAGAGGGCAAAGCTTTGATACTCTCGTCACATCAGTAAGTACTAACAGTTTCAGTGCAATATTTCACAAAATAAAGTCAAAAAGTTTGGTGTTTGAAAGGTGTAGTAAGACCCTCATTAAGAATAAATTTCATATAAGTATCTATATAAAAACCAGTGTTCTTATAACAGTGAATCTATCTATCAATGAACTTTATCTTCCAAACAGTAAGCCAAGGTTTGACTACACACTTTTTTCAAATGGTAATTTTTTTCATAGAGTATCACTGATGCTTTTTAATGAATTTTGAAAATGTAGAAAAAAAGTTCACTGGAAGAAAACATTAACATCTTCATTGGTTTCAACAGTGAAGGAGAATAAAGAATAAACAGCAAATTGATTTTGTTTTTGGCACCATTACTATCTTAAATCTTAGAGGACTGGTTAATTTCTGGTAACAGTTTTATTCGAAAATAAGTTTTAAAATTTTATGACGTAATTAGCTACTTTTTACTTATAAATATCTCAAACGATACCTTTTCAGATTTGTGCCGTAGTGGGTGGTACTTTTGTAATTGCTTGGTTTATCGATTCATTCCTATTTACGTTAAGCGAAATTTACAAGAAGTATCAGATTGGTAAACTCAGTTAATGTTCTTATCCTTCGTTGTTGTTTTCATTTGCTGTTGTTACTGAAACCGTTGTTCATTTGCGGGAACTGTCATGTCATTAAAAAAATTCCGTTGTTGGTTATGTCAACGATTGTTGCGTTTTGAAACGGTAATACCTCATAGAGGAACAGTCGGCCATATCCCCAAAATCAATCATCATATCATTCCACTGAACAGTTTTCACAAAAAGTATTTGTTCACTTATTGTATTCAACTATTTCTTAGACTGCTGACGAATGAAACAAAAGAAGTAATTATCCCCTGGTTAAAGCTGAATAATTTGAAGAGAATAGGTGTGAATAAACTAATACACTTTTGCTATAAGAACCTGCAATGAATGAAGGCACAAAACGATATAGAAATAAAAATTTGCTCAAACAGTTGAAAAAGCACTTTCACTTTGCCTTATGTCGGTGTAACCAGATAATCCATTTGCTATATTATCTGTTTGGTCCTTCCTTTTTACATATCACCGTCTACTGCTATCTATCTTCAGTATATTATCATGGGGAAACGAGTTTATCGAAGGGAAAAAAAGACATAAATTGAAATGTCCAGATTTTAGTGAACCATTTTTTCGCTCACAGTTGCTCGCTCTAGTTTGTGATTAAGGTTAATTGTATGTACAACTGTTTTTTTTAGCTGCAGTTGTTGGCTACTAATAAACAGTATGAAAGTCGACAAGAAAAAAGTGGGTACATTATCCAAAACTGCTGGCTAATTCGAGCATAAGTGCGTTATAAAACTGCTAGAGATTAATATAAGCAATTCAAGTTTCAGAAATGAAAAATAAGTTCTTCAAACTACTTTTTTGCTCCTAGCTGCTTTTCAGTCTCATAACGAACTAAAGGTTAGTTTGTAGTAAGTAAAAAGAGAGGGAGGAACATGAAGTAGCAGTCGCAATCTTCACACTCTTCTCAGAACATCTTGAAAAATTACTTTTGATGGTCTTGGATAAGGGTTTACTATAAGAAGGCCATAACTGTCTTTCGTAAAACTTCATATTCTGCCAACCTGGATAAAACTTCGAGAAGAAGGTTTAGCTGTGAAGTGAACAGAAATAGTTTACAATACCCGATTACCTTAGATTAGGCTTACAGCATGTGTACAATGAAGTAGCTTACCTGCAAAATGTGCAATAAAAACGTAATTGGTTTTTATAAACTATATCTGTGGTATGCAGTTTACGGTATAAAAATCTCGATTTCTTATAAAATTAAAGCAGCAATGGTTACGTCTTGTAAGTCTGATTCGTTTTTTAGATCTAAATGAACAATGTAAATAATGATTTTCTTTAACATTTACGACAGTCTTGAAACTACTTTAATTCCAAAAAAACTAAATATGTTAAGTTTCAAGTTGGAAACAATACTGGGAATGTGAAAACAACATTGCTACAAAAAGATCTTGCTAGACTTTAGAGTATTATGCATTTTAAAAAAATTATATAGTTTGTATTTAGCACGTAGATAAAAGTTTTATCTTCTTACTGACAAACTTCCAAAAAAATTTTATGTAATGAACTCTCTGCAAGTAAAAAATGCATTATTGAACTGATATTGAGAGAAGGAAATTTGTAAACTGAGCATAAACGGCTGCAAACACGATACTTTTATCAGTTTTCCGGCGCAATTCAAAAATCAAGCTTGAAAGAAAATTTTTTTCACATCAAAACCCTGTATAAAGGATGATTCATAAAGAAGAAAATAACGACGTCTGAAAAGCAGTAAATTGTTGTACTGACAAAAACAGTACTAAGTGCATTCTACCCATTAAAACTTCAGTAATCAATGCTGTTGATGTACGTCAATTCAACTTTTTCTATCTTACTGCTTCTATTTGGATTCCTCATCATTTTTCATATACGCCAGAAGGTTTTGGGTGCTTCTTAAAGACATATATCAATTGTGCCTAAGTAATGTAGAATGAATGCATTTTACGGCTTAAACAGTTTAAAAATTTTTTAAACAAAAGCTGAAAATAACGTGGTAGTGGAATTCGTTGGTTTTAGACGGCTAAACCATTTTTTAAGATTGGAGAGTTGAAGAAAATGATTAGACACACTTGCTATAATGAGTAAAGAAAAAGCAGTATCTTTTCATAGAGTGGTCATTTTGCTTGCTCAATTCTTACTTCGTTGCACTGTTCGTTAACATTTTCTGAAATTGCTGAACTTCAGAAATGGAGTGTGACTACAGCAATCAAATGCTTGAGTACGCTAGAACAGGAGACTTGCAAAATATTCGTCGCCTGCTGGAACAGAGAACGAAGTTTGGAAAGGAAAAAACGATAGAAGCAATGGTTGGTGATACCGAAGATTGGCTTCACGAACAACATCTTAATCGTTTAGTAATTCTACTGCCAAAGCTCGTTATATTTGCAGTCACCATAAGCATTGATTCAGCAAAAAAAGATATCCTAAGGAACTTACCAAAATGTACATATAATTGGTAAATATCTAAAAGCGCTTTTACCAGTGCTTAAGTAACGATTTAAAAAGCACGCTTCTAGTAACGCTTTCTTATTCTAGTTTGCAAATTAGAGTTCCTTTTCATTATTCATTTCATTGTTCAGTTCCATTACTATCTTTACAGCATTAAAAAAAAAGTATTGCCGTGTATACCATAAAGCATTTCAAGATTAATAAATTGAGAGTAACACCGTCAGGCAGCTCAATCAGTCATTCCGATTACATTGAAATTTTTCTCCTTTATTTTATTTTAGAAAGCAGCACTGTTCATCGCTTCTGAAAGAGGGCATTTAAATGTTGTCCAGTTTCTTGTGGAAGATGGAATCGACCCCGGCATAAAAAATAAAGACGGAGTAATGAGGAATCTTAGTATTGAAACTAAAGCAATTCAGAATATTTTAGAATAAAAACTAAAATAGTGTTGTAAACAAGAAAAAAAAAAACGAGAAGCATATGAAGCAGAAAATCCAGAAAACAATTGAAAAAAACACTCTCAAAAAATCAAAAATTAGACGTGCTGTAAATTTTTGGCACTAAATGTTACGCTAAAACGCCCAAATCTTAGTGATGATATCTACGTCAAATCTTTTACGTGCACTTCAAAACCGCAATATATTTTTATGAAAAAAAAAAGTAGGAGCTATCAGCCAAAAATCATGAAAACTGAAGTTGAGACACATAAAGACTTAAACTGGAAAAGCGAGGAAAAGAACTAAATGTTCATATGAGAAAGAATACTAAATAGCGATTTTTTCAGGAGACTCCGACATATATAGCATCCAAAAAAAATCACTGGAAAGTTGTGCAATGTCTTATCGAGAACGGTGCAGACGTCAGCGTTGAGGAATCTTTAAAAGTAGGCGACTATGTAAATTGTCAAGAAAATTTTACTTTTTTCTAATTTTTTTTTTTGAAACATAACATATATTTGTCAGAAAATTGAGTACCGCTTTTAAAAGAAGTTTGGGAAAGAGCAGTTCGCTAGTGAAAAATAAATATTTGTGAAAATTATTGAAGAGAGGCAATTATATTTCTTTTAATTGAGAGTTCTACATAAAATGGCTAAGAATTTTGAAAATTTTTTCTGTTGTAGAATTTAGTTGTACGGATAAACTGTGGCCAGTCTTCTTAAACTTAAGCCAGAAATTGTAGTGCAACGAAAGCGCTAGATGTATGTTGCTAAAAATATCAAAAAAGTAAACTAGATAAAGAAAATACAGGTAAATGGTTCCGAGTACTCTAAAAAGTTTTATTTTAGGGAACTTCTTTACACATCGCATCGAGAGAAGGTTGCCTCAAAGTAGTAAAATGTCTTCTCAACAATGGTGCAGATGTTGACGCGAAAACTGAAAATGGGGTAAAACTTTTTAAAATTATCAAACAAATTTGTCCAGTATGCTCCATTTATAATGCTGCCATACCTAGAAAATCTTAAGCATGCCGAGTTCTTTTTTGTGCCAAAAAATTCCGATACATTAGTAGACTATAACAGATTCTCAAAAAAAAAAAAAAAAAAAAAAA